GTAACTTTATTGACGCGACGTTCTCAATTCGATGTTCGAGATTCATCTCCAAAATAAGAAAAAATTAAGTATAAACAAATGTATTATATGAAAGTAAATCCATCCATTCCTCGACAATTGAGAAAATTGAAAAAAAGCTTTTGCTCTGTCTGAAATGAATACAAGTACACATCTATGTCGGGACGGTACCAGACGGAAATGATAATCTGGTAAGCAAAGGCGAGCGAAGAGCCATAAAGCGCCGCGAAATTGCCGTCTTCTAATGTGACCGGCCGTAAAGATGAGAGCCGTATAATTGCATCCTTCCCCTTCGCAGGGAGGATCATCATTTCCGACCGGAGGGGTCCTTTTCCTTCTGCCGTTAAACACACCCAGCCACGCCTCTCGTACATCTTGCGAGCGAAAGTTCTAAAACGGACAATCAAATTAGAGTTTCGCGACGGCGCGTTTCGGGAATAAAAACAGTCGGCGTCGCGAGAAACTTGGTGCGCGATTGAAATCACTTGTCCGCTAAATTATGCAAGTCGAGAGATTCCAGGAATTTTTCCGAAGCGTCGCCAAGCGCCGCCACTTTCCTCTTACTCTGCGCGACAATGATGGATAAACTCGGCTCTTCAAAAACTCGAAATGTTGTTCGCTCTTGCAAGGTCCTTCGATTTGAATCGCAGGGATTCCGCGGCGTGCGTCGGCGCCGCGCGCAGATGAGGAGGAACGAAGAATCACGCTCCGCGGGCGTATTCATTAGCATGTTTACCCGAGTGATCGCGACACCGCATCAGTGACAAACAAAGCACGCGTGCTCGAGCTACCCGTCGAGATAGCCTATCTCCGCGGCGCAAACGACCGCACGATCGCGCGCACGAGAACCAAGTAGAGACGCGCGACACGGCATAAGGGGGCGGCAAACCGCGCAATCTCCAAATAAGCTCGTTACTCGCTGCCGCGGAAAGGTAAAAAAGAAAGCAGGTAGAGCTGTACCCCGGCCTTTATGCATAGTTAAATGTCGGAAATGCCCGTATGCCGGAGAGAGCTTATTAAAGCGCATCGCTCGAAAAATCTGCTAATCCGGACTAGCAGCGGCAGCAGCAGTGGCGCGAGATCCGCATGGCGGCAGGCAGGCAGCGGGCGAGAGAGAGAGAGAGAGAGAGAGAGAGAGAGAGAGAAGGAGAGCGCGCGGATCGATAAAAGAGCGAGAGAGACAAATGAAAGAGCGGAGAGAACGGCCGAGGAATCTGATTGGCGGGGGCGGCGCGGCTGTTGGCCAATGAGCGTGCGATCCGGCTTTATACCCAACCGAGCCTACTGATTTTCTCTTCTCTTTTTTGCTCGCTCGTACATTATACGCCCGTGTGATTTGTCATCGACGACGAACGCGCGCGCGGCTCTTTTTCTTCGGCGTCGTGCGTTTCGCTATTCATGGCTTTTCAATTGCCCACGAATTTCACGCTTTTTACCTTCGCTCGCGCACCGCTCGCCATTCTCCCTGTATTGCCGCGCTTCATTTTTCCGCAGGTGACTGCCAGCGCGACGGGAATAATACGGATATTTTACAATTTGTTTACGCATGCAATACCAGCGCCGACGTTGCCTTTCATATGCCGATTTAAAGCACAGCATATTTCTGTCAGTTGCGCAGTGCGTAGCGAGCGAACAAGTGCCGTGTTTCATAAAGAAAATTTGGAAGAAGAGTGTTCAGGTGGTTTTCGGGGGCGGCGGGACAAAAATCGACTGGATCGTCATTTATCAAAAAAAATGGCATTCTGCCGCACGATGGGAAAGCCGATAAAAAAAACCGCACGCAAAATCCGAATATTATATTACGCGAAATTTCACAAATTCCCTTTAGAGATGACTTGGACGCCTCGCGCTCTTGCCGAGAAGAGCCGGCCCGTGTTTTCCTAGTGCAATAGTAATGAGCCTAAGCTTCCTCGCTATACATCACTCTCTTATACCTCCCTTGCAACTCTCTTTTTTCTGACTTTCATAATGAATTTTCCGGGCGAGGATTATGCTTCGAAAACGAAAGTTTGCAGTTTTCAATCCCGTGCAAATTAAACTCAAACGCCCGTAACACGGTAAACGCGTGTAGATTTAAAGCCTGCGCAGGCCACTTCCATGACGCTGCGTAACGTACTGCCGCGGTCAGAGAACAATCGAATAATCTATAGTTTGTTTTCTTTTCGTTGATAAGATTAACTGACACCGTGACAACAAAACACCATGGTATTTTTGCGGCATGTAAGGCGGCATAGAGATGTTCGAACACAACACTGCATCCATCCCCCAAAACTGTCTTCTCAGCATTTTCTTATCGAGTTAACTTCCCTTTTATTTCTATCAATTACACCGCAATCTTTGCTTTCTAACTTTCAATGAGATCGGCGCAAGCATTACAATTTCAGCCCAATAGAAAAAGGAAGCAGCAGCAGCAGCTTTGAAACTTGAATTCCCCAAGCGAACTGAGCAGTGCCATTGTCGCGTCGCGTCAGAAGTTTACCCAGAACAGCAGTAGAAGTTTGGCCTGATAATTACGTGGATTCGGCATGGGGAAGGAGGAGCGGCATGTCGAGGATAGAGAAACCGAGTGGAGTGTGAAGTCGTGTTCGCACATACACACGCGGAGAGACGCGCATTAATAAACAACGACATTCTCGTCCTGCGCCTTGACGCGTCGTTTCGAGCGCTCACGGCTGTGAAATTCCAACTGCAAAAGTTGTCGCGACGATGCGTGGCTCGGACGACAAAAAGCGCCTCTGTGCGCGTGCACACGATGACGATCGGCGGAGGCCCGCTTCTCATGACCAATTCAAATGTCCCCTAATTTCTCGCGGCGATACATAGATCCCTTTTGCCCGACGTGTCACATACACATGGAACTGCACGGCAATCACGCGAGGTGCACAGAGGATCGCATGCGTTGTGTGCATACGCTGCTACGCGCAGCGAAGGGCGGATTTTCCACACCGAGATACATGCACACACACGAGCCAGCCGATCTAATTCTTTCTCAAATTACGCTGTTTCCGGTCGAAAATCAAGTCAGAGCAATCAAGCCTAATCCCGGCAGGACGCAATTCCGTGTGATAATTTGCGCGTTGGTCAAACATTTGCTAATCAGAGTTGCCCCCGCGCGATTCCACAGTGGAGTTAGCATATATAACAATAAACGCCCTGCCGCCGATTACTATCGAGGCAATGCTTGGCTGATCACTCAAATTATTCATAGTCGATTGACGCGTCGCGCTGTGTACGCTATCTCTCCGTCTCTTTTTTTTTCTTGCCGTTTGCGTATTCATTGTGATTGATGACTGTGTCATACTGGCCTACTTTTTGTATTGTTCGCCCATTTCTCCTATGGATCAAAACCGAACGCTAATAAGGGAGTCTTGGGGGTTGTTCATATATCGACGAATTGATTGGATGCAACGCTCTACAGGAGGCAATATTTTTTTGTTAACCATTTTTGCCTGTGCCGTCTTTATAAATTACAAAAGGTTCATTGATTATTTAACGAAACTACGTCGCTGCAAACTTTCGTTGAAACACATGCAACTTTCAATGTTCCGTAAAATGGAAAGATTAACGGTGTAAACAAATTCTTAGAACATTTTACATAACGATTATCGGGTCTTGTGCTGATCTCGATCAACGAGACAAGTAGTCACATGGCTCGTTCTAACTTAAATGAGACCCACCAGCAACAATCGAAAAAATAAGCTTATCCCTCCAGACTACTAACAGGCGCCGTCCACGAGTTTCATTAATCTAATTAGGACGAACCTAAAAAATTAATGAAAAAAAAGCAAGAGGGTAAAAAAAACGACACAGGTGAGGAAAAATAGTGCGGAGCAGAGCAGCAGCAGCAGCAGCAGCAGCAGCAGCAGCAGCAGCATGATGATTTATTCAGTCAGAACGTCGCGACGCGAGAGAGGAAACGTCGGTAAGCACTTCAACGCCCAGACACATTAATTATGCGCCCGTGTGAGTGTCAACGGTTATTGTAATAACAATTCACGTACATGCACTGGCACCAGACGGCAACTAAGCGAAAGCATTTTTGTATTGCTTCCAATTGAGGTTATCATACTATAAAATTAGTCCAAAATTTTAATCTACGACTCTTTATCGTAATTCTTTTTTTATCTTTTGGAATTTTTAATTAGAAACATTGATGGAAAATCTTTCTTCGAACAAGAGTAGTTTCCTTAACAAAAAGATCATCATGTCTGTGCATTTTCTTTAAAAAACTTAGTTTAAAAAATGTCTTTTTACCATAAGAGAATTTATTCAAAATGACTATACTCTGGTTGTATGATTTTTTTCACTGATAATTGTCTTTATAAAGTATCATTCGACCAAGAACTGCATACCCATATCGATGTTCAATATCATTAGAAGAAAAACATGAAAATCCATTCTCTCCAAAAAATGTCTTTGCATGAAAATATTCCAGACCGAGTGATCAGAGTCCCAGACATGCAGCATATTCATAATTAAATATACTTGAGAGAGAGGGAAAGAGGGGGAGAGAGAAAGAGAGAGGGGGAGAGAACGATCAATCAATATCAAAAAACGCGAAAGCTCTCTACCTTAGTCTCTCTCTCTCTCTCTCTCTCTCTCTCTCTCTCTCTCTCTCTCTCTCTCTTTTGAGCGCAAGAATAACGCCTCGCGACAGTCGGCTGCTCTCTTGGCGTTTTAATAAGCTTGCCGATATCGAATTACCCAGTTTTGCAGCAGCAGCAGCAGCACAGTTCATTTAATTTGCAACGAGAGACGGCGTCCCGTCGCGCCGGTCTGGCCTCGTTCTGTCAAATCCCATTCGCTTTAAATATAAGCGACTACGCAAAAGCGCGAACTGATATCACTTATGCATGGACTTCCTATGCATATTCAACGGCAAACCGAGGCCATCAATCTTACAGCGGAAGAGACACTTCTTTTTTTACGCGACTCATTAAGCACAGCACGCATAAATTCGACCTTTACTTTCTCTGTTGCAGAGCCGAATACTGGAAGATGCGTCCATCATGTGCAACTCCTGGTCGCCAAGGCACAACGTGAGTACACCTATGGCACATTTCACTTCTCGCGATGCCTATCGCTAAGGCTAAACGCCATATACTTGCCCTCCGACCATTCCCAAATGGTGTCATCGCTATACCTAGCTAAACTATAAGACAGTCACGAATGGACAATAAAGCCTCCGTTGGCTCTCCAAATGGCCATCGTAATATCTCCTGTGCGTTCCACGTACCAGTTTTAAAGCAAGCAGCTAAACTTGCCGGTTACGATTATGGCTCCTGCCAATAAAATTGATTTTGCAAGCGAAATCGCATAAAAAAACCATAACGATCGATTTTTGTTTGCCTTTTACGAGCCCTCGACGCACACGCGTGCCCCGTGTGATGCACGAGGTTTGTTAGTCGAGCGTGCGACGTGTGCTTCGCGTTACAGATTTATCGAATATTCACTGCTGCCCAAACGCCAGAGGCGAGACGAATCAATCGCTGCTGCCAGGTGTGAGCTTAAAACATCGATCTACAAAACTTTCGAGGGAATATATATATATTTTTTAAGATGATAGCTCCGTCCAAACGTTATGCATAAAAAATGAAGCTATAGAGTTTGGTCGTGCAATTCGATTTTAATATATGCGAAAAAACTTTTGTCGAGACAATCGTCCGCCGAGCCTCGGCGACTAGCAAAACAAGAAAGTTAACAACAGCTGTAAATAATGAAGAGAATCAAGTGTTGCGCGCAGAACGGCCGAGAGAAGTACAGCAATGAAGCTCGAGCGCAATAACCCACACGACAACAATAGAATGGAGCGGCAGAGGCATAGAATAATTATCGGAGATGTCTCTTGTCTGGGGCGCTGAAATTTCAGGCAGTAGTGAAAAAGTGCTGCACCGGTTGCCATGCGCGTGCGCCGGAAATGATTGATTCGCCGGAGAGCGCATGAGCGTCGCTTTATTTTTCGCGCGAAAATCGAAAGTCTCGTCTGCGCTATTTCTCACTTTCCTATTTATTATTCAAATTCGTCGGACGCGAAGCGAGAGACAGCGGGTTTATTATCAATACCACCCGCTTTTGCAATTAGATTGTAGAGTTGATTCACTTTTTGACCTACATGAAGGACATGAAACATTCAATTTCGCGAGTACAGTCGATGCATTCCGAGCTGAACTTTTGCGACGCGCGTGGAGGGTGATGCAACTTTGAACAACGACCAGGTTGATTCCTATGTGTTATTATGGATGCCTTATCTTTGCTGATCTACGCTCCCTGCTTCAGCCGTTTATTACATCTATGACTTTAGGCAATTATTGAGTGCAATTCAAATTGACTATAATTTTCATACTTCAATTAAGAGATTTATCAATATCAAACGAACTTACGCGGGCGTAACTGCACTTTCCGATTATCTAACTATGTCTGCCACTCTTCGATCACTGCCTCGAGTCTACAAATAATCGACGACTGGAAAGTAACATGGCGACGACGCAGCAAAAAAGGTGAATTTTTCTAGGCGAGGACGCGTGCGCCATACACATTTATTTATTCAGGAGTCGTGTCCGCAAAGAATAATCAGTCGCGGTCTTGTTAGTGCGCCAGACAACGTGGCTCGCGATGTAGGTTATTGAATTTCCGCAGCGACGGAAATAACGAGTAATCGTGCCAATTCGCGGCCGTCAGTCTTTATGCGCTTTGTAGCGGATTTGATATCGACGAGGAAAAAACGAAGGAGTGGTAGACGCTGCCCGATATTGGATTTACAAGACAGAGCAGAAAATTATTGTCAAGCGAACGGAAATTGAATGATCTATTTTTCGCTTTACAAGTCGATAACAATTACTTTAGATCTCTAATTAGGCTCGGATTTGGCTGTGTACTAAAAGACGGCGGAGGCTGAAAAATGCAAGAAAGCAAACTGTGTGTAGCAATCGTGAATACACAATTCATTTGGAAGAAGAAAGCAAATTTAATAGCACTGACTTATTTTACCTCTTAAATATTCAAAGCGAATTGTCTGGCACAGGTATACCTTTCAAATTTAGTGCGCGTCGAGTCGTGGAAAGAATTTGAATAGATAGGATGCTTTTTTTTCGCCCGGTAAACTTCGCATCGTTGGATTTCGAGCGTTCATAAATAATTTATTTTTATCGATATTCAATCTCTGTAAAGCTTTGAATTTTCAGAGTAAAAATTTAATGACTGGGTCTTTTACGCCTATATAATTAATTTTGTTTGTCCTGTTGAAAGTAACGTTGATGCACACAAGGCTTTACATACGGCACAACTAAATTATTCACATGGATTCAACTCGGAAACACTAAACTAATTGTGAGCATTAGAAAACTCGTCAATCAATCTCGCGAGGAAAATCACCTCGAATTCAAGAAATGAAAGAGCCAGGAAAACAAATGGGCAGCATTATCCCAATTTTAATCAACTAATGTCATGCATTAGTCTCCGTTAAAATTCGCCTCGCGGTGGCCGAGTAGCAACAAAAACCACCCCATCTCGGATAATCCTTGGGTTAGTAGGCGATAAATCTCCCCCTCGCGTTCCGAAAAGGTAATTGGCTAATCCTTGCGAAGCAGCGGGAGTCGGGTAGTGCGTTGGAAAAATGACTCCATTATCGCGCCGAGAGCAACAAGTAAACTCGTGACTTCCGTTTCCTGGAGATTTATCGGGCTGCGTTAAAACTCTAAGGGGCTTTTTCCTGGCGCCGCGTGATCATTTGCTCCGAAGCTAAAGAGGTGTTTCACCGCCACCGAGGGGCCGCGAATGAATTGCTCGGTTGATAAAGATGGATGCTGTTTAATGACTAGCTGTTTGTCAATCTTTTCTTTCTTCATCCTTGGCGCGAACCGTTCAATTATTGCATTTCTTGATGCTGCAACTTTAGAAATAGCCTGTCGTCAAAAATAACTGATGTTTTAAGAACGTTGCGATTCTATGTGTTACAAACATCGTTAGTTCTATCGCTGGTTGATTCAATAGTGACAATCATTTTACAATGAAAATCCAATCCAATTAAATCTTTGCCTCTTCTGAAGAATCGCATCGCAATAAATGTCAATTATTTTCAAAATTGAATGGTCTAACAATCAGAACTAATGAAGAATCGTTGGCGAATCAATTTGTATTTGCCTAAAGGAACTTCAAAAATGTCATCTTATCTTATATAAAAGAATGACGGCCTGCCAAGTGAAGGCACTATATATTCGTGATCTGATCGGCAGAAAGGTAGTCACGTAGTTTACTATCATGTGATGCATACTCTGCATCGTATATACATGTATTAGATTTAGAGTATATAATATTATTAGCATAGCAGCTCATATGCTCAGTAAATTTATGCTAATAAATATTTCGAGTCATTTACATCGATTTTATATTCATTAATTGAGTAAATAAAAAATTAGTAAGACGTTTTGTTAGCATTAAAAAAAGAATAACGTTAATATTTACTCAACGGCTGAACCTTAAAATAATATGATAAATAATTTTGATGCTCTTCAATTACATTTACTTTTAGGACATATAAATTTATTGAATACCTCTCTTATAAAGTTTAACTTTGAATAGACATAATTAAAAATTTTAAAAATCATAAAATGATAAATTATTTCATCAAATAAAATACCGTAAACTAAATTAATCTCATCGCGTCCCGTAAATTATGCAAAAAATTTTTTAAATTAAACTTGTACATGGAGAAATAACTTGAAAATTGTCATGCACACGAATAGGGAAAAAATAATTAAAACCTAATAAAGATCTGCTACGTTATTAGGTTTGAAATAATACCTATAAATCTGCGAATATTAACATAATTGGATTTTTATTTGCCAATTAATATCGAGAGATATTAAGCATGCGGAAGCATCGAAATATTTTTTATATACAATATATTTTGTAATAGTTTTCTTTGATTGAAGCATAAAATTGAATATTAATTCAAATTTAAAGCGCGCTGAATGACACTAGCTTCAAATTCAATATTTCCTTGCCTCGTACCTCATGAAGCCATCTAATACACGGACCAAAATTATGACTGATTATCGTATAAAAGTATTCAAAGCGCAGCGAACTGCCGCGGATAGGTGCACAGTATGCAAGGCGCATAAGCACGCCGCCAAACATCATAAATAATCAAAGCGTGCATCCACCAAACTCGTTCCTTTTTTTCGCCTAAAACATTGATTGCTGCGAAAGAACGCCTTTACCGGTACACTCTGCCTAATATGCTTTTGATATTATCTGAGATTATTTTTTTTTGATATAAATCGTTGTTTTGTTCGGAAGATAAAGATAACTAATTGTCGAACTGGACCAGTTAGTATTGAGTAATAAAAATTCAATATTTGAAGTATCGTGATATGCTTTTTTTTTTCATTTTAACTTACTCGAAATGCACTTTTCTGTCCAATGCTACAAGTTACGTCTCGCGAAATTTCATATCCGATTTTCCCACTTTCGTCGAAAGAAAATCTGTGAAATTTTTTATTTGACAGGAAATCGTAAACTTTCAATTTTCATTATTTGATCCTGGCTGGTTCTCTGATAGTGCATCACCAAAACAAAAAAGCAAATGCAATTATCTTGGTATAGTGCAGAACAACATTATTGATTGACAAACAAAGGAATTTCGAGCGAGCGGAAATGAAAAATTGAAAAATGATAAAAATATTGACAATTTCGACTGCACGTCTGACTTTTCGGGTTTCGATAAATTGCTATTTCCTCGATCGTCAATCCATTTCTAATTTTCAACAAAAACCATTTGATTTGTGAAAACACTAATTTTGCCGCGAAATTAGCTGCAACTAAAACTACAAGAATTGACAGAAATATTATATACTTCATACGAACCTTAAGTTAAGAAAGAAAAAGCTTGTGCCAATCGAGCTTATCGGTGCGACTCCACGCATCGTCTACGGTTTGTAAAGGCATCATAAAAAATTAAAGTGGCTCACGTGGAATTGTAGTTCAAGTTTTTTATGACGCATTATGTTGTTCACTTCGCGGTATTTTTAAAAGCCATATATGCATTGTCTTATAGTTTAAACGCGGAACGTCTGTCATTAACGATAAACGTCATTTTCACACGATCGAAATCTCATTGACACGGTAATTGAAATCTTTTTTTTTCTTGCAATGGATATACTCCAATTGCGCTAATGTAAATTGTAACGCTGACTCATACGGACACTTTGTGACCCAAATGCAATTGATATTTTCGTCTCCCAGGGTGACAAATCAGGTTGACGCATTATTACGAAAATTTAGGTCACGGAAAATTTTCATTCGGTTCTAATATGTAAATCGTATCAAGCGTAATCGTTTTATTTTGTTTTCGGAAAACTAGTTCACCGATCAATGATCTCGTTGAATAGATATACGCTGGCACAGATTGCAAATTCCAGCGAGCTCTAAGTTGATCTTCTACGCGAAGACGACAATGAGTAAGCATAATATGAACGATTGTCCCCTGATACGTGTAACGTTACGAGTTTTACAACGACACAATTGTTTCATGAAATAATAAGTTCTTTGACAGTAAACACAATTCTTCTTTCCTCCACACCCATTGATTTCCCGTCACTATTTAACAACTAAAACAGAATGTAAAATTAATCGGTCAAGCGATATCTTCGCATTGCTTTGGCCCGTGATTTTCCGTGAAAAAAAGTGCGAAACCTTCTGTAGCTTCGGCTTCTCAAGCATCTCCTAACTCAATGTCACTTGGTTTGGTTCTTTTTGCAGGGTGATATATTCGGTGGGCTGAACAGTGGTTTACAGGACGGTCTACTGTCGAGGGCGGAAGCTCTTGCGGCAGATCTGGGTAAGCACAACGGTGGCACGCCGATGCCCTTGAAGCACGATCCTGTCTCGGTATATCATCATGGTGCACACATGCCAACACCCCATCCGAACAATCGGCCGCATCACCAGGTACAGACACACCTATTTGTGAGTTTCTCCAGCCTTCAAGCTTTATTCTATTATTCTATCATCATAATCACTAACCATGTATACTTCGTCATTTCCTACTCATATACCCGAATGTGTGTCTGCGCGTGTGTATGAATTTTTCTTTTATTCCAATATGCTTACACGATTTTGGATCTTTGTTCGAGTTTTTAAACGTGATGTCTTGTTCGAAACTTAAAATCTTTTCTAGCGTATAAAATTCAAACGATCAAATTTCGCATCGCCGACAAACAGCATTGTGGTAATCGTGCGAAAAGAGAATAAGCGCGTGATTGCTTCCGAAACACAACACACGTGAAAAGAGAAGGCTCAACGTTTTAATGAGCCTCACGGGACTATAAGTAGTCCGCGAGTGCAGCGACGTATCGACCAGCCAGAAGCAGAGGCAATAGCGAGCCATGCGGGCCAGAAAACGAGTAGTAGTGGTCGATACCTGGAGAGACAAGAGAGAGGCATATGCTCACCTGATCATTAACTGCCCCCCCCCCTTCATGCTTTTGTTAAATGTTCTTTTTGTTTCGTGAAATACTTTACAAAAAGTGGATGAGAAAACGCACGTTGGAACATTATGACGAGCTGTATACCAATAATAGGGAACTTTGGAAATTGACACGATCATTATTGACTACATATTGACGATATGTTGAATATAGTATTTCACAACAAAAAATTTCATAAGTATTATCAAAATTATTCCACGATCATTTAAAGAAAAAGCAAGACACTACGTACTTGAAGAATTTACTTTAAAGTATCATATATATAAAAGAATTTCTCTGAAAGTTTCCATAATACCAAAGGCAGCGAGAGAAAAAATCGCAATGCACTACAACCTATCGATATAATTAACCATGCCGTGCAATATATTATTATTCAATATTCACATGCTAAAAGTTTCGCCACGCGACATATTGTTTCTGTATCAGACGATACGAAAAAAAGACAGAAAAATAAAAGTCTTTCGCAGATGGCGAATTCAATACATGTGAGAGAGTGAGGCGTGTATGGCAGAGTTTAATGATGAATTATTGCCCTTTTCGAGGGTTAGAGTTGGACGCGAGTATATTTTATATAGCTTTCTCGTTAACAGCTGAAAAACCTTATAGGAAAAGGGAATGGGAGTGAGTTATGTTTATTGATTATCGCGTGAAATTTTTCTTTTATTTTCCACGTAAAGTGGGGGAAGCAAGTTGGAGAATGGGGTGATGTGAAAAAAAATAAAAGTTTTGAAACTTAAAAACTGCAGTTTCACAACAACTTTGCGGGAGCAAAGGTTTTTTTTCATTTCGGGCGAACTTAAAAATATAAAGTTTACAATTTGTAGTTATTCTTAAATTCTACAATGAAAAATTGCAAAATAACTTCTTGGCCGCGAAAATGTTTGCATACGTACAGAACCGAATAGATGAAACAACGGCAGCATCATCGTGTGTGTCAAAGGCACTTTGCTTGGCGATTGCTTAGCGAAAGTATATATCACAGTTGTTACAATTGCATCAAGGCACAAAATTTACTCTCGGCCCCCAACCAGCTAATCCATTTCCTCATTAATTTCTTATTCGTGCCCCCCCCCCCCCCCCCCCCCTCGAACTACATGTATGTACGGAGTTGGCAATCGTTCTCTCTCTCTCTCTCTCTCTCTCTCTCTCTCTCTCTCTCTCATCCCCCCGAATACTCACCGGCCACCGTGATAGTATCTATCGAGCGACAGGTTCATCGTTTTGATCTAATTGAGTGGCACGATGAATGAATGCTTCTCTCTTGTTTCTTTCTTTGTTTCATACGTCGTTTGACTGTACTTGCAGTGTTTGTGAATTTTTTATTGCCATAATTATTATTTTACAGTCAGTATTCGATTAACGAGATATCTATAAATATAATTTATTGAGACTCTGAGTAAGTCATTCTATTCTAATCCGACGTCGTTGATTTACAATTACGTTCAAGATTATTCCGAACGACTTATTTATTTCGCTGACAAATAGTGTTCGTGCAAAAGTGTCAAAACGTTTAATAAGACCCTTGTTGTTGCTTTATAGTCCACAGAAAAATCAACACACACACTCACCGACGTGGAAAAGTAAAAGTGGCGTTAAAGGCAAACAAGGAAACCGCGAGACATAACCGCAGGTGCGCCAACTGTCGTAGAAATGGTGCATCGTCGTCGTGGGTGGGAGGGGGGGGGGGGTAGCAGCGACAAAAAAAAACGCGAGGGGAGCTCATAAATAATTTGCAAGGGGTCGCGCGGCGCTTTGCGAACACGTGTTATCCACTGCATAATTACATCGCGAGACAATTTCCGGTTGGACGACACTCGCGACCGTTACACTCTTCGTTTTCGTATCTTCTTTTTTATTGTTAAAGTTAAATTAAAAATAAAAGAAATCTTCAAAAAGCTATTACATTGCCTGGATAAGCGTTCTTGAGAAAACGTTTAAAAAGCTACGGAGGAGTGATAAGTTTTATTTTTGAAGAGAGCAAATTGTATTTTAATGAAGAGTTCGATATTTAAAGTTTGTTTTGAGGTAAGCTTTGTACACGTTGCCACAAAGTATTTAACATTTAGTTGTTGACATTTAGAAGAAAAAGAAGAAACTAGAGACGAATTATCTTTGTCTTTAAAAACTTTATGCCGCAAAGTCACCAAGCTATCGGTGGGGCGATTAAAACATCAATCGATGTATTGGCATCACGATTAAAACATGATAACGGCAAAAGACGTCCGAATCTGCCATCCACACATGAAAAACATATCTAATCTCTTTCTGTGTAGGCAGTTCGTTCCCTGTGCGGTTGAGTACAGCTGAAAGGGCTGCCGCAGTAAATTCAATTATCAAAAGTCGCGCGCGCGTGCGAGTCAAGAGGGGAGTTTTATTGTTTGAGTGGGCAAATATGTACTCTTTGATTGATTTTTGATTGCGACTAGGCCAACTTTGACACAACATTATCGAGAAGACCGGTTTTTTGTAAATAATATGAGCGAAAAATACAAATCACTCGTGAATCACGCAACCCATATTGACATTATTCGTAATGGGCAAATGCTGCCTTAATGAATATTGTGCGCGATACTCATGCAATTGATTTTCAGGAAGAAAGCTGCTTGATGAAACTTGATATTGTTTGGCCAGCTGGAGATGCTAACAAGGTTGGGTCATTACGAGAACATTAACGTGATAACTTAATCGATTGATTGCCACGTAACGAACCGATGACAGTTATTGTAAAGTTATAGTTAGCACGAAATAATGCCATAGTGTGTACAAAATCAGTTCTAGTTTTATACATAACTTCTTCCAAGTACAGACAAATTGTTTTGTGTGAATGAACCTCACTAACCCACACAAGCACGCCACTCACAACAACAACAAAGTAACATTCAATCATACATGCTAGCAAGCATCATCACCCCATCGATTCTCTGTTGCAGATGAGTCATCCAGGCATGGAATCCCTGGACATGCTGGACCCAGCGAATTCGATGACGACGCTGACACCCATGTCGGAAGGGGGCGGTAATGGTCAGAACGGTGGTGGCGGTAATCCCGGAGGCCATGGCCACACTGGCATCCACGGGCCGTCGGTCTACGGCGGCATGAACGGCATGATGGGTCACCATCACCACAGTCAGATCACAGCTGGAGTACCCCACCCGCATCACCATCCGGCGATGGCGGCCGCGGCAGCCGCAGCCGCCGCTGCCGGCCTGCATCCCGACGCCGACACGGATCCGCGCGAGCTTGAGGCATTCGCTGAGAGGTTCAAGCAGAGGCGAATCAAGCTGGGCGTGACACAGGCCGACGTGGGCAAAGCTCTGGCGAACTTGAAGCTGCCTGGCGTCGGAGCGTTGTCGCAGTCGACGATCTGTCGCTTCGAGTCGCTTACGCTGTCGCACAACAACATGATCGCGCTGAAGCCTATCCTGCAGGCGTGGCTGGAGGAGGCCGAGGCGCAAGCGAAGAACAAGAGGCGCGATCCCGACGCGCCGTCGGTGCTGCCGGCCGGCGAGAAGAAGCGCAAGCGCACGAGCATCGCGGCGCCAGAGAAGCGCTCTCTCGAGGCCTACTTCGCCGTGCAGCCGAGGCCATCGGGCGAAAAGATCGCGGCGATCGCCGAGAAGCTAGACCTAAAGAAAAACGTGGTGAGGGTGTGGTTCTGTAATCAGCGTCAGAAGCAGAAGCGCATGAAGTTCGCCGCTCAGCATTGACCCGAGGCCGGCTTGTGACAGCAGAATTGACTTTACCAGCCGGCAGGTCTCGAGCCCAAGCCCGAGCCACTCGGAGAGTATCAAGGCTGGCCCTAGACGATACTCATTATGTTTACGCGCTCCGAGTGGCCTGCTGTGCTCGAGACACCCCGCCGGCTGATTGCAGACGAAAAGTCGTTGCTGTGTCACAGGCCGATGATCTTTGGCTCCTTGTGTCATGACTCCCATCCTCGTGTCCTCTCGTTGTCGCGCGACTCGCGCGTGGTCCCCGGCAACTTCGTCGGCCTCGAGCGCCGACTACGTGCCATTGCATCGAAGCGTAGGAGAGGAGGAGACGAAATCGATTCCCAGCGAGCGCAGAAAATAAATCCGCCGCGACTCTAGCTCGCCCCGTGTGCCGCCGGTGAAGATCGATCGCTTGCGATTTTATATATAAATAGAGCAAGAGATACGCCACCGCAACGCGAAGGACGCGACTATCGATCGGCCGCTCATCCCCCTTGTACACACGCCGGATTTCTTCGCAATTAAAAACCACGTGCGAGCCGCAAATCAACGACAACTGCACCAAAGGGACAGCTAAATATTTAAAATGATGAATAAAACCATTTGGAAAGTACAACTTGAAACATAAAACTTATGTAAGCTGTAAAACCGTAAAACACTATATTGTTATTCTTCGGCGCGGGTAAGAGTGTCTAAGTGCGTGACGACGACCACCGCTCTTCACCGCGAGAAAGTGATATTAATCCTAAATGACGTATATATCGTGTAATACACAATCCTTTCTTTTTGTTTCTGTGCGCGATTGCAATATATATATATATATATATATATATACACCCAGGAAAGAGAGGAAGGAAGGGTATGTTGCTGTAATCACAACGAATATTCACACGCATACACAATTTACACAGACGCACGCGAAGTGAAGAAAAAGAGAGACAAAGAGAGTTTCACGCAGCACCTGAGTATTAGTGATATCGGACAATCAGTGAACAAGACTGTGTATCATATCGTAAAAAACTCCGAAGCAATACTATTTAAACGTGCGTCGCTTTTACAAACAGTGGCGTAAAAAATACACAAGGGAAAATACCTGTAATAAAAAGCCCTTTTGTCAAAAAAGATATCCCGTCGCGGGAGAAGACTCTGTCAAAGACAAGATTTTTTCGAAAGAAAATCTCGATTATTATTATTATTATTATTATTATTATTATTATTATTATTATTATTATTATTATTATTATTATTACTCACCAGAAATTTTTACAATAATTATTTATTTATTTGTTTGTTTGTTTATTTGTTTATTTATATACATGTATATTACGCATTTGGTGAAACGCTGTTTTCTTTGCGGCGACAATTTTGAATAAGCAATTCGCAAAAGAACGGGAGACGATGAAACGTAGGCCATTTATAAAAGGAAACGGTTGTACATAATGTAGAGAAGTAAGTATTTTCTAAGGGGTGGACGGCTAAAACATTTTATCTTTATTTTAGTCGTGAGCGTCCGTCGTGTAAATTTAGGTAGCCAAGGATGTGTATGTATCTGCGTGTACATGCTGTCAAAGTGAAACCAAAAAATCTTATACAATTATTAGTGCAATATAGTGGTTAGAAGACATTAACTATTATTTTCTCGGCGCTTGCATCAACTGAAACTAAAGACGGATCTCAAAGCTATACAAAGCTTATTTTTCATTTGTTTTTATCTTTTTCAGAGTGGCGGTATAAACGAAAAAAAAAATTTATTATTGACAAATTACATGCTTGTTGAAACATTGCGCATTGTTCGAATTTTATAAAAAAATGATATCCTATTATGTAGACTTCTAGATAACGATCCGAGTGTATAAAAAAAATAAAGTTGAAGGATTGAATCCAACAAGAAGATCAATTGTTTTTTAAATTTTGTTTCAAAACCGTGATCCACCATAGTAGAATTATAGTACCGCGATTCTAAAAAATGGAAAAGAATGTTTTTGATGTTTTACTTGCTAAATTCTGGATTACTCAGAAATAATAATATTCTTCTCCAAAAGGGTTACTGGATGACGAGTTGATTCTGCAAGTATTTAACACAGGGTATAACAAGTCATTATCACCATAATGCTTCTAATAGTACCTTCATTATTACATACGTGTGTAAGCAGCCTTAAAATGTACAGTTCGACGCAAAAAAAAGTAATTCAAGTCAATCTGCTTTTTTTAATACTTGTTTTCAAACTTATCGGAAATATTAAAAGTTTAAAAATTAAGCTTAACCAATTTTTGCGCTGATTACGGTGCTAATTATTTGTATACCTTCTTCAAATTCTTAAAAAATTGCGCTGAATCAAGAAAAAAGTCTATTTTTAAAGAATAACACTTTTGATGTCATTATAGATAATCTAAATTATCATTCTTTCTAAAAAAAAATATATATATGCGAACAATGGAAAAAAACTCAATTTCTAGTCAATGAAAGATTAAAAGGAAACCTACGAGTATTAAGCGTCGAATTTATAAAGAAACACTTTAGAGGACCTGTGTACAAAGTCTCACGAGATAAAAAAAAGTAATTAAATATTCTACAGACCTGTATCTAAATGTAAGTTATAAGTCTCAAGCGTTTTATTCCGAAGATAAAAAAAAGTTTATAATGAGAGAAAAGCCAAAATGAATTGTTAAGCGTTACGGGTCTTACTCGTAAATCCATTAGGGGCACATTTTTGTTCTTTGTTTTTTCTTATGCCATCTTCCTCCTCCAAAAGACGATCTTAACATATTATTGTGCAACTGCAATTATTAGTTAAACAAGTCTACAAATACGATAAAGGAGACCAAATTATCTTAAAACTGTAATATCCGTTCTCTCGCCGGCAAAACATCCTAAGAAAATGGTGAAGACCGCAGATAAGTTTTTTCAAATTATAATTGTAAATATAAAGGTTATTTTGAATATAACTAACGTATCTCAACAAACTTTTTACTATAATCCCTAGATAGAGGACAAAATATTCAGAATAACACTTATAAACGCTTCAGATGACGACCGAGCACAAATAGTAAAAAAAATTTAAGATTTTGAGTGAATCAATTTTTATTGGCATATAGAAAAATTGGTTTGAGTTTTCGGAAACTAAGAGTTTTTCAGTGGAAAAATAAATAAATATAAATAATACCACAATTGTAAAAGGTGCGTTGCGATTAGCGAGTAAGATTCCACTTTTCAAGCGATATATAAAAAAGGAGTGTAATTGAAAGACATATCATAAAAAAAATATTAGTTGAATTGCCTGACAAGCGTAGAAATTTAAATATAAATATTATACATATTACTTGCGGAAACAATGGTGATGCGAGGGGGCATGTGCACGTAATCTTGAGATGAAATTTCAAGGTAAAAACTTTCAAATAAGAAAACGCAATTTTTTCATCTTATATAGTATTTAAAAATTTCTAAACATTGATCATTCTTATTATTGTCTCATTATTTCTGGCTCATAGATTTTTTCATATTTTAAAATGAACAAAGAAGCAATTTTTATCTCGATTTTACGTGTCGATCACATGAATAAATAAAAAAATATATATGAATAGGCGAACGATCGAGCAACGAAAAGGCTCATCCATTATTGTACATATCATGTGCCATAACTCATTTTCCATACTTCATGTCCAACTTTGTTCCAATTACCTACTCAGCTATAAATAATATAATATAATAAAATAAATCTCGATGTTATTGATAAAACATTGCTTATTTGATTATTAACCCTTTCACTTACTTCCAAATACATTAATGTCTCTAAAAGCAACGTAGACAATCGATTATGTGATTAAACCACTAACAGCATCAACACATTAAAGTAGTCTGACGAGATTAGTAATGCGTTCTGTGACAATGAAAAAATCTCTTAAGGGATAGAAATTTAAGAGCAGTCTAGACGAAAGCCATTGAAAATGCAATATTCCGTTATAATTAAACTTGCTTAGCACGAAAATACAACACAGCGAGACGATGTCATGTTCTCATTTTCAGTAAAATCAAAAATACATCGAACTTTATAGAGCTCGACAGACATAAACTCGGTTTTTGGGCATTAATATACAGATAGCTTTTCGTAAGCTTTATTCGACAGCAAAAAACCCCACTTTTTCATTTTCTATTCCTATGATCTTTGTTTTGCTTTCTCTCTCTCTCTCTCTCTATCTCTCTCTCTCTCTCTCTCTCTCTCTCACTCTCTCTTCCTCTCTCTGTTTCTCTTTCTATCTGTGATCGAGTTAAGAACTTGTCGCAAGTCAGATTTTTAGAAATAAATCATACCGAAACGTCTGCTACTGATTTCTGATGACGTTTAACTATGGACTTCGATCGTACGAAAATATAATACCGTGAAATAGATCTCAGACAATATCCAAAACATCTAACTAGACTGAAATGGTATCGGATATAAAAGTAATTTTATGATTTGGCAGAGAAATTACCCATTGTCTGTAGCAAAACGTGGCACAAATTGTTTCAAGTCAAGCGCAAATAGCAACAAAATTGCACAATCGATATTAGTAAACAGATGAAAACAAAAGGAAGGAGAGAGAGAGAGGGAGAGAGAGATAAAAAGTCCCTTAGGACAATAAAGACGCATTATCAAGGATCAAGTATATCGATAACGACGACACGTTGATTGAAAGAAAGAAAAGAAAAAAACTGTCGACGACACAGGAGAACGAGGCACCACCAACCCTCGACGGTTAATTGGCGCAGTGGGCAAACAAGTGCGCCGCACTGCAAAAGCCCAAGAGCTAGGGCTTTCTGTTTACACTCTCGTAGCGGCAGTACGAGCAAAATTCAGTCATTGCCGCGTGGCTCGTTTACAAACACCACGTACGCTGATTTTGACGCGATTGATTATCGCAAATTGGCTTTGATATTTTCAATAATTTCAGCAACAAAATCCGGAGGATTAACGCTGAACTCTTAGTTAACCGAAGCCTTCTACTAGCACTAACCTCCATCGTAACCAACCTCTAATTCGTGAAACAAAAAAAAAATCTACATAGTCCTTGGGTTTGTTAACGCACGCAGCGAATATGTCGAACATGTGGCGAACGCACAGAGGCCTGGAGGCGCAAAGCCTCTCTATGGAAGGCGCTTTTGTTGCTACAATACAAAATCAGTGTTTACACGCTGTATCCCCGTCGCCACTTGGACCAAATAGCCCGAGGACACTTCAACTCTCGAGACTATGCATATATGCGCTTTGATTGGCTTTGATTTTTCTTCTCTTTTCAGAGAAAGGTTGATATATGTATCTTGCTCTATAAGCTTTTTACCTTATCTCTCTATACATCTGATTTCGTCGTTGATGCGCGTTTGCAATGATTCCCAACTGGGAGCTGTGTGTGTATTATATTAGCTTCCATCTCTATTTACTAAAGAATCAAGTGTACATGTGATGATATAACGTGAATTGCTGTTTCGATTGCCATTAGATACTTGGCAAAAGAACATTAAGAACCGCGTCGCATTATGCGTTATTTTCCTTCAGTTGATTGATATTCAACAAATACAACAATTAAAAAAAAATTACTCATGTCGTTGGCGCACGAAGCAAATTGAATAATATACACGAGACGGATACACAATTGGCTTGCGACGGTGCACTCAAAGAGATTCCGTCGAACGACGGACTTAAGTTTCTATTTTTTGTATTCGTCAAGATCGCTAATGAGCAGAATTCTTTGTCGTGTAACCCACTGCGACACAGATCACAGAGAAGAATATCGTGGAAGTCAAAAAAGTTAATAGTTCTCTTTTTCTTTGCTAACTTGGCACGCAACCGACGACTCAACGTATTACAGCAATGAAAGAACTTTAACAAGCCGTGCTCAACAATAAAGTAAAGTGTCAATGACACGCAAGTAAACTTTTGTTTTTCCCGTATTCCCTAGGAACATGAGAGGGAGCGACAAGAAAAAGAGGAGCTCGCAAGTGCGTGCGTGAAAAATTAGCTTCTCCAATACGTTAGATTGCACTTATTAATGATTGGTCTTTATTTACGTATCTTTGTAACAAGTACCATTGTAACAATAACCCAATGACCATCACTTCTGCAAGCTATGTAATATAAATGTTTAATGGCAGGGATTGGCGATGTAGAGTCTGCGTGGAATATAAAACAAATATACTTATTTATACCCGTTAATAATCGATGAACGAATATTTATATTTCACATCGAGATCTGGAAATGACTGTATCTACATATGAGGTTTCTTTTATTTTTGACGATGATTAAGGCTTGCTTCGCCACTCATCCCCCTTAAAGAAAAAGCCTCGTCACACTCGCATCCCCCCTCGTCGTCGTAGCTTTATTTTTCCGCCTCCACGTGGCACTAGCGGCACCAGCGGCTTAATAGAAAAATTATGAACTTTTTTCATCGCCGCCTGAGGGCACTTGTCGCGCTCAAGAAATGAACTTCTGCGAGAGTGAGAGGCGGCGACTTTTTTACGTCCTATTGTGAAATTAATGAGAGAAGTGGCCGACTTTTTTTATGTCCGACAGTGAGCGAGAAGAGAGTGGCTTAATTAAAAACCGTGGATTGTTTTTAATTTCGAAGGAAAGGAGATGACGACGCTTACGGATTTCATTCGCGCAGGAAGCCCTGCCTTATTCTCAAGTGCTTTGGCTTCAAAAAGTAATTGCAAGCTTTATGCGCTGCGAGAGATTTTACCTTTCTTCGTAGGTGGCTGTAAGATGTCAGGACTTTTTGCAAGCATCGTTTATGAAATTCGCGCTCTTTTACTCCAAGTTCGAATCGCAGCAAATAACACTGTTATAAAAATACGGGAGAATAAAATTCGAGAGAAGCTCCTAGAAATTGCTGTGTTGGTGCGCGAGAGCTGCCTGTACGCACAACCCTTTAGCGAATGCAAAAACATTACGCAGAAGCAATGCACTCGATCAACCGAAATTCAATTTTAACTTCACGAGAAACCCGAGAAAAGAAGAAAATTAAAAAACTATTCTCTAATTTTCCTTTCCGATTGCTGACAGCTTTCAAGGATGACTGAATGTCTGGGCGGTGATTAAAAACAAAGTAAGCCATCGAAATAGCGGGAAAAAATGAAATAATGTAACAAAAAATGAATCATCGCCTCGTACGCTCATAATTTTTGCATGAGAAACTGGGCAGGCGGAGCTTTCCCGTCATGCACGACGATAACTTCGCGCGTGCAGCCTTCAATTTGTCTTTATTTTCGCTCCCACGTATACGTATAAGGAAAGAGATATTTCCGCATTGATTGATCATTGCCCCCTTAAGTTACAGTGAGCAAAGCATCTATAATTTGCGGTCTACCCATGTATGAAAATTAACGTATGCTGTTATATGAATGTTACCATGCCGCGAAAGAGAAAAGGAAACCATTCAGATGATAATTAGCAGTTAATAGTTGGTCGACCAAAAAAGGTGCTTATCGCGGGAGAGAGAAAGGGCCAAGACGGTAAAAAGAGAGAGAAGCCCGTCACCGCTAATCAAGCCGCTGCCGCGCGACTTAATCCAAGCTTAGCACCGCCGACGACTTAAGTATTCCTTGTAAACTTCCGCCCTGAGGATTACCAAACGAGGACGAAGACAAGCAGCTATACACTGACGAGAGGGACAGAGTTTGCCTTTAATATCTACTTGGGAAAAGCTTGCTTTTTTCCTCCTTGCAGGCTAATGGTAAGAAAGCTTCACATTGTATACTGCTGGATCAACTGTCATTTTTACAAGTGTCGTGAACGTTACATCGTTTGCGATAGAAATTTCTGGATAATTTTTATAATTTACATTCTTTTAAGCCAAATTGTTTCCCACTTGCGTATCTCTCAGCTTTGATACTCTCAACTTATTGCAATCAAATGCCATCTATGTACATGCTTGAAGATGACAATAATTAAGAATTATTAATAATTCCTTCAAGTTAACCTGAAACTAAATCTACCAATATAAGTAAAACTTACTCTAATCATCCACCAAATGAAACAACGCGTGCACAGCAAACTCAGAAAAAAATGCCAAGCCAAGAAGTGAATCTCTATGGAACGTTTAATTTTAACAAACAGAGACCCGACAATGAGACCTCAAGGGTCAGTCATAGAAGGTTAAAAAAGGAAGGAAGGAAAAGGATGAACGTATAGGAGAAAAGAAAGCTCAATTCTGCAGCTCGCTTCACATACAAAAGACGTCGCTACGTAGTATATAAAAGTGTATCAGCATGTAATTAGCGAGAGACATGTGGAAGCCTCTCGCGGGTCGTAGAGCGACGTTTGTGCGCATCGCGAGGGACGTACATCACCTCCCGTGTGTTTGCACTCGGGATGTACATGAACGTATATATGCACGCTTGGTATAACGTCTTCCGAGGGACATTTGCATTATACCGAGACCAAGTGCTCGAGGGATAACTTCAAACCGGTTTGCGATGGATATTATGATGGTTATTACGATGGTCAGGACTTGCGAAAAGGAACTTTTGTTTTTTCGTTCAAAATGTCGAATAGAATTCACGAAGGTATATCGACGGGCTCATTTCGCAGATGAAATTCACACAAGTGAAATTTTTGTTTCGCGAGCCGATGTACCTTTAGCTTTGTCTTTTCTCATCTAAAAAATTAACGAATGTGAATGTCGATTTCGTAACAATCAAAGACAATTTAAATAAACAACAACATCAAC